CTGCTGTTGATGCTGTGGAGGGACAGCAAATGAAGAAGGTACATCTAGTGTGATCCATCCCCTCTCATACCCTCCCCAGCATCCACCATCATCGGTTGAGAGCTGGCAGAGGATCCATCCCCGACTATTGTGTTGAAAAGCCAATACTGGATCAATCACTCAGGAATTTGTCTTGGCCCTTTTTCACCCTGGCTATTCTCTCTGCCTCTACTGTCTTCTGTAATAACCACGTCCATTAAGTCGAAATCATGTCACATGAATGATTACTTTCTCTTTTTCAATTTAAACCTTTTGCCTGGCAATATCAGTGGGAACATCTACACATTCATTAATGCGCCTTAGATACTGCGCATTTACTTTAGTACTTGCTTAATAAAGAACTAACTAAATGCACAGTAACTCAAGTTACTGTGCAGTAGCGCCAGCGCACAGTTATTTAGTGACGCTTACTGTGCATTCGCCTAATAACGTGGCACAGTCGGCTATTAGCATGGTATTTAACCACCATGCTACTGTGCCATGATATTAGGCTTACGCGCAGTAAGCACCTCGTGTAGACGTGCCCACTGGGTGCTAACAGTCCTAGTCCTAATAGTCTGGGACTTGAATCCACTTGGTCAATGGTTTGTTCCCGCTGTGGGCGAGACAAAGGGCAGATCGCTGCCTCTCTTCATGCAGACTTCTAGGACAGGGTGGGAAGGTGAGGGGGCTTGGCTTGCCTGGCCTTCAAGCTTTGACACAGCCACGGTAGCTCTGTGCTCTGATGGAGCAGTCAAGTTGCAGGTGAGTCACAAATACGCATCCTAGAACTGTGGGAGGGGGCGTGATAAGGCATGCTGGGATGCTGGAGGACTGCACAGAAGCAGCAACATGACAATCATTCACCGTGAATGAGATACTCTCACGGAGGTGAGATGTTCCCGATTTGAAGTGATAGAGCTTTTTCACAGATCCACCATGCTTCCTCCATGAGAAATCCCGTGAAGGCCTGTCACCTCACATTTTCTCCTGGCAGAGCGGGATTTCTTCTGCTAGAAATGTCACGCCTGCCCAAGCCCCTTAAAGGAGAGGGGAAGGCTCTCTTTGGTCTGGTTAACCTTTCTACCTCTCGCTGGGGTCGAGAGGTTTGCACATAGAGGTTTGCAAGGTTCCTTGGGTGAATCTGATATCTTTTATTAGACCAGCTTAAATATTTAAAGATCTCAGATTCACCCAAGGAACCTTGCAAACCTCTATGTGGTAGAGGTTTTACACTCCTGGCATGAGAATCTCTGATCTCTCCCTAGAAATGGACAGCATGCATGCAGTCTCTCACAGATGAAAAATGGCAGATGGATGAGAAAGATCATCCATTTTCAAACCAGAAGATCTCATTTGCATGAGTTTGTCATGGCAGAACAATCTCCCGTGCAGCTCTCCTTGCATAAAACGTCACCATACAGTCCCCAAACACCCCCTACCTTGACTCCAACTTATGCCAGACTTTATGCTCTAGCCAAACCCAGAGCTCACCACATCTCATGGCCAGGCCAGCCAAGCCCTTTACATGCCTCATGCACAGGCTCTCCACAAAGTGGTTTGCTCTGCCTTTTCAGCGCATCTACATGAGATGCTAACTGCGTATTAGCCGAATAACACTGCACAGTAATGCGTCACAGCACAAACCGGGCTAATAGCCTACTGCTCAGTGTTATTAGGCTAATGCACAGTAAGCGTCACTAAATAACCATGCACTGGTGCTACTGCACAGTTAACTCTAGTTATTGCACATTTAGTTAGTACTTTATTAAGCAAGTATGAAATGAAACGCTCAGTATCTAAGGCGCATTAATAAATGCATAGACACACCCTTTGACTGGAGCAAGGACCAGATCTGGCCCAGCCTGATGAGGACCTGACCAACCACCCACAGACCATAGAGATCCACACTGGGCTTCTAGCAACAGCTGTTAACCCCACCTGAAAGCCTGCTGCAACTGTTTCTCTTGCTTGTGAGTGTAATTTGTAGTGGTGGGGGTACTGGGTTTTGGTAGGAGGGATATGTGTTTGGTTTCCTACCATGCAACTACTTCAGTGCTGGCTCTGCTTGCCCATCTAGGAAAAGGAGGAGAGCCAGCCTCCTAAGTTTTCTTCTTGCCCTCCCTTCTTGCACCTGTTCCGTCTCAGCAAATTGCTGCCCAATGCCCCAGGGGGCTGGGCACAGGGAGCTCGGCCTTGCCTGGCTCAGGGACCCCAGAGTGCTATCACATAAGACAGAATTGCAGGGCCTGGAGCCCAAGGGGGCGCAACCAGGGCTGGTGCAATGGACCTGTGCTGAGAGGTGCAGCCCGAGTAAAAGGGCCAAGCTCAGGCAGGCTGAAGCCCAGACAAAGATGTGAGGCCAGAGGAGCCAAGTGTTGTATTAGGGCCCCCGTGATTTGATACGGAATGGGCGCGTCTACACTTTCATTAATGTACGGTAGCTATTGTGCATTAATGACTGTGCAGATGAAGTAGTTGTTGCCTAATGAAGTACTAACTAAATGTACAATAACTACAATTACTGTGCAGTAGCGCTGGCACAGGTTTTTTGCATCGCTTCCTAGGCAGTAGCCTAATAACACTTTGCAGGAGCGTCTTGTGTAGATGTGCCCAGTGACACCTGCAAGGCATGGGCATGACTATGGGGGTGGCAGGCGGCCATAATTATTGCTCCTGAGGCAGTTTGTGCCCTAAGGTGCAGATAGGGCCGTGATTTAGTGCCGGAGGGGTGAGACTGGTGCCAGCTGGGCACGTGGAGCACTAGATGGTTGAGGGACTGAGGATCATTCTGGGACTCTGGGGCAACCTCCTTATGTATTATAAGATCCACCACAGCATGGTAGGCAAGATGGAGAATGGAGGAGCCACAGGAGCCAGAGTGGGGCAGGAGATGCGCGGCCATCTGAAGATATTACAGCACACCTATGGCCTGGTCCTGGTCCAGACTTTTCCTTCTCCAACTTCCCCAGGTAACTGTCTGCATGTGGGGCTGGCATCCCAGGGTGGAGGGGAGGTAACGGTGTTGCTTTCTCTTGCCTTTGACCACCATCATTCCCACAACTCCTGCTGCCCAGGTGAGGCATCTGGAGGAGCATGGGTTGCGGGGTGTGGAGGATTGCTCTGAGCAAGCCAATAATTGGATGCCTCCCTGGAAGGTGCATTTCCTTACAGCAGTAACTCATGAGTGAAGTGCCCCATTATCTGGGGTAGGTGCCTACAAATCAGAGATGGACAATTATTGGGGCCCATAGGCCACACAGAAAGTTTGGGTGAGCTGTCGCACGCACCCTCATCATACACCAGCTGACCAAAACTCCCTAACTGGCTCTTAGGCAGTTGAGATTAGCCAGGCAGCTGGGATGGGGAGGCAGGTGGATGGGGAGTGGCATCTGGGAGTGGGACAGGCACATGGGGCCAGGATGGGGGGGTGGGGCCCAGGGCAGAGCCGTGATCCGCTGCCTGCATGCCTTTGTGATGAGCGCCAGTTCTGCGGACAGGGGCATGTGGGGAGCAGATTGTGGCTCTGTCCCAGGCCCCGGACCTGCGCTGTCACTGCCCAGAGATCCCAGGGTCTCCTTGGAGTCTGGCCAGGACCTGCACGGGCAGGGCAGGTAAGAGGGAGCTGTGTCTAGGTCAGGCTCGGGATCTTGGGGGCAGTGACAGTGTGTGGTTGGGGCTCAGGGCCAAGCTGCAATCTTCTCCTTGCACGCCCCTGCCTGCAGAACCCATGCCCAATGCAGGGCCATGAGGGCAGCAGATCATGGCCCTGCCCTGGCTCCAGCCCTATGCTATCACCACCCTGTAATCCCATCCCATGATCCCAGCTTCTCCCGCCTGTCCTAATCCCGAACGCTGCTCCCCATGGCCCCATCCCATTCATCTGGTCACGCACCGTGCCCATGTGGGTCCCGCCCCTGGCGGTGGGTGCAGGACAGATGGGCTGGGTGCCTGGGTACCAGGGTCAAGTCCAGCAGCAGCACCCACTGGAAGGAGCTGCCACCACCAGGACTACCAGGCAGTGAGTCTGCACACCCGGGGGGTTGTAGGACTGGACAAATGAACAACAGCCTGAGGCGTAGACTGGCCATGACCTTTGGACTGGCCACAGGCCAGACATTAATCTCTTGGTAGACCAGGTCCAGCACATGAGCCATATTTTGCCCACCCCTGCTGTAAATTGTCTTGGAAAGTTGCAGGGGAGCACCAGTGAATGCACAACACTGATCATCATGGCCAATGTCATTCAATTCCCCAAAGGCATGGCTAATTTGCACCCCTCCACCCAAACATCATAGTTTGGAACAGTCTTGCGGGATAAGACACGGAGTGAGGTGGGAAGGAGGTGCGGTATTATCACCAAGCAATTCCTGCCTACTTGTGGAATAGGCCCCTCTCTCCCCACGGCAGTGGCATTAGGCCTGCAGTAGAATAGGGAGACTTACCAGTGTCCACCGTGGCCTGCGAATTGGGCGCAATCCTCTCACTCCCAGGGCTGGGGGAAGCGAGTGTGGGGAGCCAGCCCAGTGGCACAGCCTGCGAGGCATCTGTCGAGGAAGGAGTGCAGAGCACGCCAGGCACAGACATGGGAAAGGGGGTCTTGGGGTCACCAGATTTGCTATCATCTTCCAGGTTTGAGGGCAGTGGTGGGGCAGGGACCATTCCTGGGGCCGTCCAGGACCTTGACAAAGCAGAGTTGTCATCCACATCCTGTGCCTCAACCACCGTGTCAGTGGAGTTGTTCCCACCGTCTTGTTTGGTATCGATGACCTGGCTGATGAGCAGCTCCTGGGAGACCGAATCTTCCTCCAGCTTCAATGGCGTCCCAGCTGCAGCAGGATGCCTTGGGGCTTCCTGCTCTTTGGGAGCAGGTGGCTGTTCTGTGCCCATCCTCGGGCACCTGGGGTCAAAGGTGTTGCCAGACTGATCACCTTTGAGGATGCGGGCCAGCTGCCTGTAAAAGGGCATGGTGTGCCCAGTGCCCCCACAGCTCCGGTTCTTGTCCTGTACTTTCTTATAGCAGGACTTCATCCACTTGGTTTTGGAGCGACACTGTTCCCAGTCTCGGTTGTGGCCCCGGGCTGTCATCTCCGCAGCGATCCTCTGGAAGACCTTCTTGTTGCGGTGGCTCTTGCGGAGGGCCTGCTGGTTCTCCTCCCTGCCCCAGATGGCCAGGAGGTCCCTTCTCTCTGCCTGTGTCCAGTTGTAGGACCGAATGTAGGTGGTGGAGGGGGATGGAGCTGGTTCGGACACCATACCTGAGTCGTAAGAACATAAAAGCATCACGCTGGGTCATACCAATGGTCCCTCTCTCCCAGTATCCTCTCTCTATAGTGGCAGCAGTGGATGCTTTAGAGGGGGAGCATATGAACAGGGTATATCTAGAGCAATCTATCCTCGGTCATACGTTCCCCGGCATGTGTTCTCATTGGGTTAGAAATGCTAGAGGATACCTCCCTGACTGACCATTCTGTTTAATAATGGCTAATGAAACTAATTACCCATTAACTTGCCTAATACCTTTTTTAACCTGGCTATTCTATTGGCTTCTACCGCCTGCGGCAATGGGTTCCACAAGTTAACAGCATGTTGCATAGACAAGTACTTTTTTATTTAAATGTATTTCTTGGGCATTTCAGTGGGTTCCCCTTACTTCTAATAGTCTGGGACTTGGTGAATAACTGTGCCCTATTCACTTGGTCACTGATTTGGTTTCAATGCAGGGCGGGGAAGATCAGGGGGCTTGGCTTGCCTGGCCAGCAGGCTGTGAAGAGGCACAGTTAGCTCTGGGTTGCAAAGGAAGTTCTCACTTGCTCAAAAGTTTTTCCAGAGCAAAACAAATGCCTGATTATTTCTGGGTGCATCTACACATGTGCAGTTACTGTGCAGCAACCAAAATTCACGTGCAGTACAGGCACACACGTGCAAGCCCATGCTGCGCACTAAATATAGCGACTTACACCGACTTGAGCGGAAATTTGATGCCTGCATTATGCAGGTATCAAATTTTTGCCCTGTTACTGTGTAGTAATGCATGTGTAGACGCCTTACTGCGCAGTCCACACACAGCATTAGTGTGCTTTAACACCTGCATGTATAGGCATCGGCCTATTCCCGCTTAGTGCACAGTAAATTTAAGCCGGAGTAAATGCATATGTAGACGCACCCTCCCTATAGGCGAGTAGCTGCCATGCTGGCCTCCAGCTTCCCAGAATGCACTGCTTCTTGCCCACCCAATAAGGCTCCATGGAGCCAGTTAGGTCATTTAGGCTGGGTTCTGCTGCTCCAGCCAAGCACGGAGCTAAGCTGTGCCACCAACCCCAAAGCTTTCTTCTCATCCTTCCCACTCTCCCATCAAGCTGCCACCTGCCGACTGCTGGCGAAGGTTTTAAATACCTGAAAGGCTGACATAAAGAAGAGGGGAAGCACTTTTTCTCTCTTGCTGCAGAGAGGAGGATGCAGCAAAGCAAGTTTACACTGGATATATGCAAACACTTCTTCACTCTCAGAGCAGGGGGGCAGTGGAATAGGCACCCAGAGAAGTTGCAGACTCTCCAGCCCTGGAGGAGTTCAAGAAAGGCTGGACAGCCACTGGTTGGGGATGATGTAGGCTGATGATTTTCAACCTGTGGACCACAGACCCTTGGGGGTCTGCAGACCACGTCTAAGGGGTCCCCAAAAGAGGACTATGATCAATCAAAAGTATGTGAATACCCACTTACAGTTCAAAGGGGTCCGTGCCTCCATTGGACATTTTCAAGGGGGTCTACACCTCCGTCCAAAATCTTTAAGGGCTTGGCAAATGAAAAATGGTTGAAAACCACTGATTTAGACATAGTGATATCTATGTTGTACTATGGGGATTTCCCAGGCTTTGGGGCTTTGCTGATTGCCCCCTTCTGCCCTCTCTGCTCCGTGTGTCAGGGTGTTTTTAAACCTCCCTCAGAGGCATTGGGTGCTGGCTGCAGCCCAGCCTGGGGAGAGTGGGTGGATTGTGCTGGGAATTAACTTTTAAAGGGTCCCCTGTTTTACTTGGGGCAGTTTCAGGTGTGATGTCGTGTGTTGTGTCAGGGTTCACTGTGTAGTTTTGCTAAGAGGCTGGACAATGGACATCACTGTCCAATTGTCCATTGTCCTATAGGATAGTTTGGATAGGGCTGATCCTGCCTCAGGACAGGGGGCTGGACTAGATGTGACCTCTGGAGGTCCCTTCCAAGCCCACTTTTCTGTGATTCTACAATCTTGCTTACACACACTGGACACGTCTACATGAGACACTTTAAGGTGCATTAGCATAAATTTAAGGAGCATTAGGGTGCACACCTACATGTGCATGCTCTTAATGCACTTTAAAAATAACATTTTTGAGCTAATCACGCCTAAATTTGGTACCTGAAAATGCAGGTATCAACTTTAGGAACGAATAATTAAAGTGTACTGAGGAAGACAAGGCTCCTTGGGTGAATTTGATATCTTTTATTAGACCAACCCAAATGGTTGGAGAATAGTTATTAAGTAAGCTTTCGGGTTCAAAAACCCTTCGTCAGGCTAAGGAGGTTTCAGCAGTTGTACTAACACACATGTAGATGCATTAGAGTCCGTTCACTGTGTGTGTGGACTGACTTGGGATGAACTTTAGTCCCAAGTCAGTCTACACACACACACACAGCGTTAATGCACTTTAAATGCCTGCATGTGTAGATGCCTGCCTAAACTCATTTAATGCACATTAAGCTAATGCGCATTAAATTTAGGCACGCTTAAATACACATGTAGACATGCTCAGCATGGACGGTTTTTCTTGTGGCTTCTTACAAGTGAAAAGATGAAGAGAGAGGGAAGGATTTTCCATGGTTGAGTGATGGGCTCTGGAGCTGGGGGTGGAGACGGTGGCACAGCTGCACCCTCTTCATGCATCGGACCACACCATGGGAGTCTCCAGGAACTTTTAAAATCCTTTAAAGGAGGTGAAAATCCCCCTCCCCTGCCCACCGCCGTGGCTTTCCCCACTGTCCCGGGGATCGGACAAGCACCAGAGTTGTTCCTGCCTGCCCCAAGCCGATTGCATGGTGGTGGGCTCAGAAAGAGGCACTGGGGATGGCCTGGTTTCCCTCGAGGGAGGGAGGGAGCTACTCTCCTGCCCTGCTGTTGTGCTGTTCCTGTCCCCAGATAAGGCCAGCCCCCAGATGAGCCCAGCTACCATACAGTCCGGCTAGGGTAGGCAGGAATAGCTGTGGTACGTCCCCTGCAGCTGGCCAGGCAGCAGTGGCAGGTGGGACAGGAGAGAGGAAAAGGGAAGGAGGGGTATTTTCACTTGGTTTAGTTACCTTAAAAGTCCCTGGAGGCTGCTGAGGGCAGTCTGCCTGCATCCATGGGGGCTGTGGAGGCTGCGAGCTAGGGGTGCATCCACCCCTGCAGCACAGGTTGCTGTTTCTACTTGAGAAACCCTAGATCCGGCCCTGGCGATGGATCAAATGAGGCAGCAGCAGTGACAGGGACTACACCAGACTTCTGCTTTTCCTCTGCCTTCCTAACCAAATTGGAGGACTGGACCAAAAGAAATCTCACAAGGTTCAATAAAGACAAGTGCCAAGTCCTGCACATAGGACAGATCAATCCCGTGCACCGGTGCAGGCTGGGGGCCGACGGGCTGGGCAGCAGCTCTGCAGAAAAGGACCTGGGGGTGACAGGGGACAAAGAAGCTGAATGTGAGCTAACAGTGTGCCCTTGTTATGAAGCAGGCTAACGGTACACTGGGCTGCATTGGTAGGAGCGTTGCCAGCAGATCAAGAGAAGCAATTCTTCCCTCTGTTCAGCACTGGTGAGGCCACATCTGGAGTACCGTGTCCAGTTTTGGGCTCCTCACTACAGAAAGAACGTGGATAAATTGGAGAGAGTCCAGCGGAGGGCAACAAAAATGGTGAGGAGCCTGGGAAACAGGACTGATGAGGAGCGACTGCGGGAATTGGGCTTATTTAGTCTGGAGAAGAGAAGACTGGGGGGAGAAGGGGGAGTTAATAGCAGCCTTTAACTCCCTGAAGCGGGGTTTGAAAGAGGATGGAGCTGGGCTGTTCTCAGGGATGACAGCTGACACAACAAGCAGCAATGGGTTCAAGTTGCAGCAAGGGAAGTTTAGGTTCGATAATAGGAAAACCTTCCCAAGAAGAGGGTAGTAAAGTCCTGGAACAGGCTACCCAGACAGGTGGCAGCATCTCTATTCTTGGAGGTTTTAAGTTTTTAAGACCCAGCTAGACAAAGCCTTGGCTGGGATGATGTAGTTGGGGCTGGTCCTGTTTGGAGCAGGGGGTTGGACTAGAGGTGCCCTCCTGAGGTCCCTTCAACTCTCATTTTCTATGATTCCTCTTGAAACTCTCTCAGTCTGGAGCTGCAATGCCGGCATGGGGGAAGAGCTAGTAGCCTTGATATTTCTTGCCCTTGGGTGCAGGCCTTCCTGCAATTCCTCTTGCCTGGGAGATGGGAGAGGAGTCTGGCAGGTGAGGGGAGATTTAGATTTTGCTTGAGAAGCCTCAAACAGGAGACGCTGTCTTTGGAGGTGCATTCACCCAGGGCAGCACTAGCTTCTCTCCATCGGGAGGTCTGAAGTACCTTAATACCTTGGGCAGGTGCCTCTAAATTGGGTGAAACCCAATTGGGTACACTGGGACAGTGGTTTTGCACGATGCACAGTGTGCTGGGCCAGTGGTTTTGGTGAGGATAAGGTAGGCACAGCGGCACAGACACCTACGAGTCCGTCTGTGCAGGCATGGGAGAAATAGCAAGAGATTCAGTGAGAAACACAGTGGGGAATTGACCCTCTTGCAATGCAGACTGTGAGCTGCCTGTTAGCAAAACCTACCCCACATTTCTGCTTCCAAGTCAAAACTTTTCCAGGAAACCTGTGAGGAGGAGACCCCCATGTGCAGTGCATGCCTGGGAGTGCCCCTCCATCCTCATGGCACTAGCCTTAGCCCACACCAGGGTGCATCACCTTACCAGTATCAGTAACAACTTGGGGATTGGGTGCACCCCCTTCACCACAAGTCCCAGGAAGTGTGGGTGCATGGAGCTGGCTTGGCAATGTGGGCTGCGAGGTGTCTGTCAAAGAAAAGGCCCAGAGCACCCTTGGCACAGAAGAGGGAAAGGATGTGTCTGGACTGCCAGGTTTGCCGCTGTCCTCTGGTGTAGGGACCACTTCCAGGGCTATCTGTGGTATGGACTCTGGGGCATCGTCATCCACGCCCTGCGGCTTGGCAAAGGTGTCAGCCGAGCTGCCCGCTGCGTTCTCCTCCTCTTCGTCGGGGTCCGGCTTCATGGGCGGTCCCTGGGATGTTGATTCTTCCTCCGGCTCCAGCCACACCCCAGCTGCTGCAGGGTCTCCGAGGTCTTTCTGCTCCTGCTTTTGCGGGAGAACACGCTTCTCTATGCCTGTCCTCGCCCAACTGGCATCAAAGGTGTTTGTGGCCTGCACACCACCATCATCCTTGAGGATGTGGGCCAGCTCCCTGTAAAAGGACATGGTGTACCTGGTGCCCCCGCAGCTCCGGTTCTTGTCCCGGACCTTCTTATAGCAGGACTTCATCCACTTTGTTTTGGAGCGGCATTGCACCCAGTCCCGGTTGTGGCCACAGGCGGTCATCTCTGCAGCGATCCACTGGAAGACCTCCTTGTTTTGGTGGGTCTTGCGGAGGGCTTGCTGGTTCTGCTCCTTGCCCCAGATGGCCAGGAGGTCCTTCATCTCCTCATGTGTCCAGTTAGCAGACCGGCTGGAGGTGGTAGAGAGGGAAGGAGCTGGTTCCAACATTGTGCCTGTGTCATAGTAACATATACAGATCAGACCAATGGCCCGTATTGCCCAGTATCCTCTGCCACGCATTACATATATTATTTTACTAAGTGGTCAATCTTGCAATAAATTTCAGCTGGCCACACTGCAAAGTAATTATCATTCCATTAACTCATTAATCGCACCATCATTTTAGACCAGCCACACATGCAAAGTAATTATCACACCGTAAATATGATTAGCCGCCTATAAAAGGAGCCAACTATCTACAAAATTAGTGGTTGAAAAATGTATAACATCTCTATAGCTGGTTTCTATCCAGCTTTAGTTTGCATGTGTGGCAGGGTCCTCAGCAATAGTAGTGGATGTTTTCAGGAGGCAGCAGGGGAACTGGGTATAACTGAAGTGATCTATCCCCTCCCTGACATCCACCGTCATGGGCTGAGAAATGCCTGAAGATACACCTCCAACAGCTCTATACAACATTTATTCATTGATCCATCACCAATGAAACCATACGGTCCCTTTTCCCACCTGGCTATTCTCCTGCGAGTCCAACGAGTTGCTAAGATGCTGCATGAGTAATTACTTCTTTTTTTTTTTTCAATTTTAAGCTATCTCCTGGCAATATCAGTGGCTGCTCCCTAGTCGTAGTAGTCTAGGGCTTGATGAATAACAATTCCCTAGCCACTTGGTGGGTGGTTTGGTTCCTGCCATGGGTGAGATACAAGGCAAACTGCTGCTTTGCAAAACTGTCCCTCTGTGCAGTCTTTCAGCACAGGGTGGGGAAGCTGAGGGGGCCTGGCTTGCTTGGCTATCAGGCTGCAAGGGGGGCCTTAGACAGCGTATTGGAGATGGGCCTGGGTAAAAAACCAGCTCCCTGGAGTTGTGGGGATGATGGGGAGAAGGGATGCTGGAGGACCGGCATTTGTTCTTCCCTAAGCAACACTTGCAGAGGTGGGAGCTGGCTGCTTGGAAGTGGCAAAACTTTCCCACCATGTGCCAGGTTTCCTCCATGAGCAATCAGATGAATGCCTACACATTCATGCTCTCTCTTGCTAAGAGCAGCAGTCCTTCTGATGGAAACATCATGCCTGTCCATAACCCTGAGGAGGAAGGAAAGGCTTTCCTTGATCTGGAGAAAGCTTGGGGAAGGGGCATTTGGATGGGGTGAAAGACCGGGCACACAAGCAGCTGAGGTTGGAAACGGGGTCAGCCATCTCCTGCATTCTTCCTACCTCGCTGTGCATTCAGGGAGGCACCTTGCACTAGTGTACCTGGGGCAGGGCATGGAGGGGGACCCTCCAGATAGCATCGGCACTGAGCGTGTCTCAGTCAGACACGGTGCAAGGGGACCGGGACTGGAAAGGATTGCACTTTTTGTGAGTTGCTGCCACACTGGCTTTGCCTCTAGCAGTCAGGCACACTGCTCACTCTTAGCTGACCTGCTTGGCACAGTTTCACGGACCGCCCCCCTGCTTCCCAGCACTGGACTCTAACTGGGACCAGTCCCTCAGGGGAGCATTAAGGGTTCAGTCCCCAAGCCTAGAGACTGGGAAGAAGATACATAAAAGCAAAGGCACCTTCCTCTCCTTGTCCCCACTTTCCCCTAGGTTGTGATGCACACCTAGCACACCACGGTTGTGCTGCACACCATGTGGTATGCTGTCAGCAGCTCCAGGGAAGAGGTGTTTGTGGACTTCACACCACCATCACCCTTGAAGATGCAGGTCAGCTCCCTGTAAAGGGGCATGGTAGGCACCAGAGCTCTGGTTCTTGTCCTGGACCTTCTCACAGCAGGACTTTATCTGCTTTGCTCTGGAGTGGTACCGCACCCAGACCCACTGCTTCAGGTGGTTGGGGAGTGGGGATGAGGGTGAGGGTCAAGGGAAGGTTTGCAGTGAGACGTGGTTCTGGGGTTGGGAGATAAGTAGCAGGGAAGACAGGAGTTGGCTGCTCCAGGCAGTAAGCATTACCTGGTCTAGTCTAACTGGGGTGGGTCAGGAGCAGAAACTTCTGCACCGTTCAAAAAGTGAGTTAGGAATTACATGGGGACAAAATAGCAGGGAACGTGGAGGGAAATGCGTTAGGGGATGCAAACAGTGCTTGTCTAGAAGTGGTATGGCTCCCATCCCCCCGGCGTATGGGATGGTTTGGATAGTTGGGGATGGTCCTGCTCTGAGTAAGGGGTCAGACTAGATGGCCTCTGGAGATCCCTTCCAGCCCTACCTCTCTATCGCTCTATGACTATGACGTGCCTGTGGGTGCTCCTCTATCCCCGTGGCACTGGCATGTGCCCGCAGCAGAGTGTGAAGACTTACCAGCATCTGCCATGGCCTGGGAGTTGGGTACAGTCCTCTTGCCACTGGGACTGGGAGGTTTGGGTGTGGAGAGCTGGGTCGGTGGCACGGGCTGCGAGGCACCCATCGAGATACGAGCATGGGGCATCCTTGGCACACGCGTGGGAAAGGGGGTTTCTGGTTCGGCAGTGTCACTGCAGTCTTCTGGGATCAAGGGTGGCATGGGGACAGAGACCATTTCCAGAGCCGTCTGCCACCTTGATGGCGTGCCACTGTTGTTCACATCTTGTGGCTCAGTTATGGTGTCCCCTGTGTCCCGTTCCTCTGTGTCTGGGACCTGGCTTACAAGCAGCTCTTGGGACATCGATTCATCTTCTGGCACCCACCATGCCCCATCTGTAGCAAGGTCTCCCAGGCCCTCCTGATCCACAGGGGGACTCTTCTGTTCTCTGCCCCTCTTTAACGAACGAGGGCCAAAGGTGCTGCTGGTATGCAGGCCACAGTCATCCTTGAGGATGTGGGCCAGCTCCCTGTAAAAGGACATGGTGTACCTGGTGCCCCCGCAGCTCCGGTTCTTGTCCCGGACCTTCTTATAGCAGGACTTCATCCACTTTGTTTTGGTGCGGCACTGCTCCCAGTCCCGGTGGTGGCCACAGGCGGTCATCTCCACGGCAATCTGCTGGAAGACCTCCTTGTTGCGGTGGCTCTTGCGGAGGGCCTGCTGGTTCTCCTCCCGGCCCCAAATGGTGAGAAGGTCCTTCATCTCCTCGTGGGTCCAGTTAGCAGCCCGGCTGTAGGTGGCGAAGAAGGAAGGATCTGGTTCTGACATCGCACCTGCGTCATAAGAACAGAAGAAGTGCCAGATTGGGTCAGACCAGCGGTCCATCTTCCCCATCACTCCACCACTGGAGGTTTCCCAGAAGAGGTGGTGTAAGTCTTGGTGAGGGATGATCTAGGAGTAGACAATGCCAGGAGGTCTCCATAAAGAATAGCTGGAAGCCCAGGAGCTCTCCAACAGATCCCTGGGAGATCATGAGAAAAGCTCTGCAACCCAGAGCAGGTGGATATTGGAGAGGAGAGCGAAGGAAAGCTCCATAACCAGCTTAGTTATGCAATGAGATTAAAGCAGGTGGGATCATTTCATGGAGGGGAGAGGATACAGAAAGAGGAGTGCTGGCTGTCCCGTGAGAGGGTGTAATGCATGGAGCGATGCTTGCTGTCCCCAAGTAATGGAAAAATGGGAAGCATTTCTTTCCCTCCCCGCGCCCCCCTTCCCATGCTTCTTTCTGAGTTTTGCTGGTTGCCCTGTGGGACCAGGAAGAAATGTTTCCCCCCTGTTTTAGGATATAGACGTGTGAGATCCTAGCATGAACTATCCTTGCTTTCTTGCTGGAAGCTGGAGACAGGCATTCAGAAAAAAAAATGGAGGAAAAATGATGGTGCAGTGAGGTCTGTCACCTCCTCCAGGCTCCCATTAGTGGACCCATTGTAGGCAGGAGCGGAGGAAGGAGCTGGTGCAGCCATGGGTCACGGGTGGTCGGTCAGGTCATGTCTGGCTGTGTTGGGTCAGGTTCTTGCTCCAGGTGATGGGCAGGTCTCCCTTGGTAGCCCTTCACCACTGCGTGGGGCACAAAGGAGGCTTGGCTTGCTTGGTTATGAGGCTGTGAGCACTCATGGTTAGCTTGAGGCTCAGCTGGAGCAACAAGAGTCCTGAAGCAGTCCCTCATCGGCTCCCTGGAGCCATGGCGAGGGGGGCAAGGAGTTTCACAAAGTATCTGCAAGGTTAGGAAACTTCTTAAAGGAGTAGGAGCAGAATGATCTTTGGAAAATGCAGAACCCAAAACACAGGGATTAGGCTTGTCATTGTGTACCATGCGACAGACTTTAGGCTTTATAAATCCACATTTCTCCCCAGCTTACAGACAGATCCCCGACCTCAAACAACATCTCTCAAACAACAGACTAATGAACTCCCATCCTCAGCAAGGCACCAGGCCTTGCAATAGTGTCCAAATGCCTGCTGTGTCCCCACATCAATACAGACTACCTTATTATCGCTGGACCTACTAACAAGGAATCCAATATCTGAGGTTCATGCACCAGCAGCTCTACCAGCGTCACGTTTGCCATCGCCTGCATACCGTGTCCATCTGATGTCTATCTTGGATAGACAGGATAATGTCTATGTGCGAGACTGAACGACATCAGGTGCAAAAAGACACAAAAGCCCGTCTCCAGCCTCCCTGGACACTCCCCAGGGAATATGGATTCATACCTCATTACTTGGATTAGTTTTTCTGATCCCGTTTTCTCCCCACTATGTATGCCTCTCACAGCATCCCTCTTCCCCCTTTCCCCTTGTTATCCTGCTTTCCGACCTACTGGGCACAGCTACACGTTCATTAATATGCCTTAGATACTGCACATTTAGTTTAGTACTTTCTTAATGAAGTACTAATCGAATGCACAGTAACTAGAGCTATTGTGCAGTACTGCCAGCACATGGTTTTTTTAGTGACGCTTACTGCACATTAGCCGAATAACACTGTGCAGTAGGCTATTAGCAGGGTTTTTAACTGCTACACTACTGCGCAGTAAGCGTCTCGTGTAGACGCGCCCCGCTGTTCTCCAATCGTTCGCTGCACTTTATGCTCTGCTTTACACTGTCCTTTCACAGCATTTGATGAAGTGAATTTGGGTGAACCTTTATATATGTTATATAGGATAAAGTGAAACTTTATATAGGTTATTTAGTTAGTCGAGAAAGGAACATATCTACCCTGCCCTTCCATGTTTCTATCACCCACCAATGTATCTGGTGTTAAGCCAGGGGTAGGTAAAATCCAGCCCCTGGGCTGAAAATATGGTCCATCGTGATTCTGTCTGGCCTGTGGCTGCTTCTCTGAATCCCTGGCATGCAGCTGGGGGATGGGATGGGCTTGGCCCACAACAGCTCACCAAAGGTCCCTAAGTGGCCCTCCAGCCCAAATAATTGCCCACCCCCGTGTTAAGCAATTAGGGACTCAAAATAACAAACAATGCTTATAGAAAGGGAATAGAGCTCTTCTCTATGATCCCATAATGGTAAAGGAACTATGCACAGGCTTCAGAAATATTTGAGGGAAAATAATAAATGCTGCGGTCTCTCTGACTTTATCCATGGAAGGTTTGGGTGCAACGTCTTGTGCTGTGTCAGGATCAATGGGAGTTGTACAAAAAGTTTAGGCTACGGATAGGTATTTGGATAGGGGTGATCCTGCCCTAGGCAGGGGGTTTGGACTAGATGTGACCTCTGGAGGTCCCTTCCAGCCCCACTTCTCTGGGAGTCTATTGACTGAACACTTCCCTGGATCAGAGAGAGGCAGTTAGTGGTGTTAGTCTAAAGTCACAGTAGTATAAGAGTGATGTCGTAACCATGACAGTCCAGAAATGACGCGCGGCAAGGATTTCTTAGTGCGATTGCTTTAATTAGATATGCTTGTCCAATGCAAGACATTCTTCCTCCTGAAGAAGAAATGTCTTACATTGGAAAACTTGTCTAACTTTATCCCAACTACATAGATGGTCTGATAAAAAGAGATCACCCTAAGAAATCCTTGCCAGTCTAAAGTCAAGCAGTAGGAAGGGTAGCTCTGGGGTGAAAATATGGCCTGTGCCCCTATTGTCTAGACCACAGTGCTGACCAAGTCTGGTATGTGTTCTTCACCTGGCCTGTCCACCACTGGCTGCATGTAGTGCCCATGTGGGACAGGCCCCGTACTACTCCAGCAGCCACATGGGGCCTGATAAGTTTGGACTAACTATATCAGAGCTGCGAAAGCTTTCATTGCTTACTTCATCAGATGCTACAGAAAAGCTGTTGCTTTTTTTTTTTCCTCATTAGCTGCCTTTTGCTTCAGTTCCTTTATGCCTGAGGTTAATCACATTCATACCAAGTACGAGCCACCAGCAGCAGAGGATACAAGCAGTCCAGATACACTAATTGCTCCCCAAAGTGTTTGCCAGCCCCGGTAACTGCCACGAGGGATAGTGAATCCATTGCCACAGGAGATAGAGTGGTACGGCCACCCTCAACTTGGACATCGACTTTACAAGGCTGAGTGAGGGCAGCGAAGAAAGCCCTGGCCCCATTACTCCCAAAACTGTAGGTTTAGGTCTAACTTCTAGATCACAGCCTTGACAATGATTAAGACTT